TTTTTTTGAGTGGGTCTATGTGTACTTAAGTCCATTTATACGTCACATGTATAAAACTAGACACGTTGCATTGCGGGTGCTCTTAGTAGTTGATACACCTAATTTACTCCCAAAATTAATTTGATTTCAATATTATTACCAAAATAAGATTAGCATTTATACTAAAATGATTATGATTTACTACTATAAGTATAGATGACATTAAATAGATTAATAAATAATAAAAAACAAAAGATATTAAAAATGAATTGAAGTGTGATTGTGATATGTGAGTGGAACATATTACATTTGGACATAAAACCCTAATTCAAAGTCCCGGCCACCTCCCCATTTAAAACCCCCAAAACCCCAAAATAGTTCAATGCCCCTCCATACAAGTTTCTGAAAATTTATCCATGGAAGCTCGGAACATTGATGCTCATGGCGGCCAAAACCTGAAGAACTTCACAGCCAGTCAACCCACGAAGATCAGGTTCGAGTATGACGACGATGAAGCGGAAACCATAGAAGAAGCTGCCACCGGGAGCTCGAATCTCGAGGAGGATTCCGCCATGGGCGAGCCCGAGGATTCGTTGGTTGCTTCGAACGATAAGACGAGCGCAGATTATTACTTCGATTCTTATTCGCATTTCGGTAATTCTTTTCTTCAATCATTGAAAATGAAGTGTCTTGTGCTCCTTTTTTGACGCTTTACTGTGTGTTAATGAATGAGTTTATAGCTGTGAGGTGTCATATTCCGGGGGTTTTGACGACGGGTTCATATGCAAATAAAATGCGTATAATGTATGCTGCAGAAATCCATTTGTTCATATATTTGGGCCTGTAGCCTTTTTTTGGGTTGGTTGTGGTGTTCGTTTCTTCTTATTGCCTAACAGTGTTGGTGATTGAATGAATTTGGCATAATGAACTTGTGTGGGTGTTGTGTATTCGGTGGAAGGGTTTCCATTTCATATGCCAAATATAAAGATAAGTGTGTACATTTTGGTAACTGAGTTGTTGAAATTTTGATGTCTAGTTTGAAAGGTTCTAGACATCTTTAATTTGCCTTTTTCTTCACCAAGTCATTTTGTTGTTTGCAAATCATCTACATGTTATTCTAGATAATATGTTCATGATGCCGCTTTCACTCGTTGAATGTTCCATTCACTCTTATTTTTTATTTTTTCAGCTTACTTTTAAGATATCTTAAAAGGTTTCATGCAGTTGAATGTTAATCTTCTCATTTCTTACTTGAAAAACATAAAGCTAAGTTTTTTCCAGGAAACAGAGATGATATTAATCAAAGGGAAAATATTTTGCCTTCCTCTTCCAGCCTAACTGTTCCTCTTCTCTTTTATGTCATTGGGTGCCATTTTTATTTGGTATCTAAACTAACTAATTGTTTTTCCATTCTCTTGCAGGTATCCATGAAGTAAGTGTCAGAGTTTTGAAGTAAAGCTTCTGGATTTTTTTCGTCTGTGACAAACATAGCATTTGGATTGGAAAAGCATCTTTTCTATTTGAAATGTCCGTATGAGTTTCAAAATATAATTCGTACGACTTTTGTGGTACAGGAAATGTTAAAGGATGTAGTCAGAACTAAGACATACCAAAATGTCATTTATAAGAACTCCTTTCTTATCAAGGATAAAATAGTTCTTGATGTGGGTGCTGGAACGGGGATCCTTTCACTTTTTTGTGCAAAAGTTGGGGCTAAGCATGTCTACGCGGTAAGGAGCCAGTTATTTTATTATTTCCTCTTTCTTTTTTTTTTTTTTTTTTTTTTTTCTTTTATGGATTGTGGGTTCCTATTTTTTGGTTTATCTAGTTGTCATT